TTAATATCGTGTGTTATTTCTTAGCACGTTGCGTGCTGTTCAGCACTGTAATAAACTTTAAATTCAGCATTGTAGTTGCAGCCGTATATAATATATTTGTTTCTTATATTACCAATATATTTATATTATTTTATAATATTTATTTATCATATATATATATTTTTACTCATTTTATATATTGCATAACTACTGCATTTATTTTACTCAACCACCACAATAAGTTCACTCGATGTTGACACAATATGACCTTTTTAATATGAGTGAAATTTAAAGTTATATTTTACATATATAAAATTTGTAACTATTTATTAACACAATATTTTTTTAATTAATAAAATATCATATTAAGTATTTATTTTCTTTTATAAATTATTATATTCTAATATTCAACTTTTTAATATTTTCAAATTTCCAAAAACAGTCGAAATAAAACTAGAACATTAAAATTTATAATAAAATTAAAAATGTAACTCCGGTTAGTAGTAAGTATTATGTTGTCAAAAATTAAATGTATATATATATATATGTATTTTGACTTTGAGCAACTGAACCATCCAACATTTTGAAGTGGTATTTTATTGTAAATGGATGGCCATGCCCATACCAATACCCGGAAAAGAAGGGCATACTCACTCACTCCTGACTCACACAAATTTTCAAAGATGGATTAGTTGGTTGATTGGTTGTTCCAAGGGTACATTTGGTACAGAGAATAAAAAAGATATAAACAGAAAATTACATAATTATGATATTTTTCAAAGAAATTTTTTATTTAAACAAATAAAAATCATACTTATAAACATATAAATTAATATTAAAAAATAATTTATTAATCCAAAAAATCCTAAATAAAGTATTACAAAAATTATTAAATAAAATAAAATGCTTCAACATCTTAAATAAACAAAGTAACTATAAAAACACAAAATAACTATCCCATGGAACCATCTACAAATTCTTTAATCATGCTATTTTTATCATCTTAACTCAAGGTAAGAAATGCCTGTGCACGTGCACGCAATACATCACATCAGCTGCTTTAAAATGTTGTATGATATCAATGCCCGGTAAAGCTCTTATCTTTTCACCAACTTTCTTATACGGTTCACGAGCTTCTAAATTTTCTTTGAGATTGACATTCAGAGATTCACCAATAATATCTTCAAATTTAACTAATACCTCTTTCATCTCTTTGCACGATTCTCGATATATTTTAAATCTGTCTTTGCTTTTACGTCTTTTATGTTTGCTTGCAACACTACCGGTTGGTTCGTCAAATCAACGAACATCCTGATCAACCTCTTCAACGAAATCAAAGTTATCAGTATCATTTGAAAAAAAAAAATTGGGTCTCTTGAATGAGATCTTCTTCTCCAAGATCAGTTGCTTGACTACTCGTTGCTCGATCCTTACACTACAAAAAAATAGTATATTTGTAATGAAATTTCATCCCTAAAGTTCACGTAACTAACATAATTTCATCTCTAATTCCTTCTTTAATGTCATTAGTAACAGAAAAATTGGATTTAGAGACAAAAAAAACTTTGTTACAAAAATGATATTTTCTTATAGTGTTACTAAAGATAGTACACAATTTATCATAGAACGGGAATGACTTGCCTAAAAAAATTTCCGCACCTTTACGAGACTACAAGACAATTACAGATAAATTTAGAATAAATATCATGTAATATATAAATATATATATATAATATTTAGAAAATATCTTGATGTATTCGTCCCAAACACTCTCCTCAGCAATAACACAACTTTTTTCATCATCCCAACCAAACCCACTCGTGTGCACCATATCATACATAGTACTAAAGTGAGTCTTCCATGTTTTCATCATAAATCTTATATGTAGTTCTGTTTTCAGACCGGAGTTAGGAAGACTTATATCTAGTGATTGTTGAACTTCATTTAAATAGCCCGGTTTAAAACCGTTGTCAGCACCCGCATACTTCCTAGGTGCATGTAAATCCATCAATGCATCAATCAATTTTGTAACTTCTTCATTTGTCCAAGTATGTTTGATTCTTCTGATACTTCTCACTACATTTGAATCTTCCATATCTATACAAAAATATAAAAAGATAATAAGTCACATTTACATACACAAATTACTGATACAATTGAGCATTATTATAATAGCACATCTACATACACAAAGTACAAATATAATAGAGTATGTATTGTAGCAACGCTATTTTTTGCATGAGGACAAATAAAAAATGCAAAATGTATGAAAAAACAAATAATAAGACTATCTCTAAAGAAAAGTAATTATTGGTACGTCTAGCGTTCCAATTGTTAAACATTTCATTAGCTAAAATGTCTCTATGATTAGTTCATTTTTGTGAAGTCTCAATCGTACAAATAATATTGTCCTGGTTGTCTATAAGTTGCGTGTGATTTGTTGAGACTTCACTATTAATGGGGTCTTCACTTGTTGTTCGTATAAAATTGTGTAAGAAACACTAAGCAATGATGATCTGTGGCATAGAATCTATGGAATGATATCCGTTATCATGCAAAGTAGCCCATCTAGCTTTAATTAATCCAAAACACCTTTCTATAATATTCTTTGCCGATGAATGTCTCATGTTGAATAACTCCTGGCAGTCATAGGGGGACGAGACCACTCATTGAGATGCTAACGTTGACCTCGATACGGAGTTAAAAATCCTTCACCATTTGTATATCGGCATCACAAAGGTAGTATGTTCGTAATCGTACAATTAATCATAACCTCTATGTTAATTAATATACAATTCTATATATGTATATTGTTTAAAGACTATAGATCACATACCCTGAGTTATTCTAAGACTATTAGGTCTACTAATTGCATCTTATAGAACTCTACTATCAGTTGCAGAGCCCTCCCATCCCGCTAAGACATACGTGAATAAAAGGTTTTCGTAGATGCTCCGAGGACATTGGTACAAATCTCTCTTTTTCGTATTCGATAAGGTTTTCTATCAATAACAGGAACCTTAACTTTTACATATGTTTCATCTAATGCTCCTAGGAAACCCTTCCTAAAAAATATATATTACTTAATAAATTTGATTATCAGTTAATATTGTTAATCTAAAAATATGTTGACTAACCTTAAACCATTTCCATCTTTTGTCGGTTTCATTATCTGGCACCGGCACATGTGTTTTGTAGAATTCTTTGTGTAACCGACGTACACCATTCAAGACTAACTTGAAATACCGACTTATAGTTTCCCAGATCGATGAAATCTATTGACTAGTATCCTAATTTTTGTATTATGAGCAAGAATATATAAAAACATCACAACCTGCTTATCGACTAACATGTTTTTACTATTCTTTAATCCTCATTTGATTTCTAAAATATGACAAAGTGTTGCAAATGTTTGTATATTCATTATTATGTTAACCACACTTGTAACATTCCTTTCATAAATCATCCTCATCATATTTTGTCGGCTGTTATGGTAACTCATTAAATAGTTTATACGTAACGTTCTTGATTCAATTGAACGATACAAATAAAAACTTGACATCATCCACCAACGGATCACCACATACATGACATAGAATGCACCTATCGCAACCAAATTAGCAACTCACTTATTACGATTTATTCTTGCCTTCAATGGTGATATTGCCATCTACACATAAAAATATTCTATTTAATAAAATATTAGATCAAATATTTTTACTTACTAATAGAGTCATGCTAATGACAACATATAATGATTAAAAAAATAAAAATCAACTATATGAACTATTCACTATGTAACAACACTTAGATATAGCAATCCACCTAAAGACAATGATAAAATAAAAAAGATTTTTGCTGATCGAATCACATGAATAAATTCATAAAAATACTCATCGATGCAAGAAAATAAAATAAAAATACAAATATTTCAAACTCAATCAAAGCATAAAATAAAAAAAATATATATCATAAACTGAAAGTGATATTGGTTGCATCATATTTACTTCAATATTTAAATCTAATGTTTGCAATTTGATGTAAAATAGTGAGTTAATATTTATTTGCTACCTATTGAACTCTATATGTTTTAAAAAGCAAGAATACAACATATATATATATATATATACACAATACACCTATCATATTCAATCCAATCCAATCCAATTCAGTCAAATCCAAATCAGAATCATTTACTATTCAGTGATTGAGTGAATGTGTGTTGAAAATTAAACTCAATCTGATCCCAGCAAAATACACAACTTATGCTTCAACATAATAGGTTTGTGTGTTTTTAACCACAAAAATTAAAAAAGAAATATAACATTCTCATCTTATACATACATTTTATAAAATTATGAATTTCAACTACATTCGTACAACCAACATGCAAAAAATAAAACTAAATTAATTAAATAAATAAAAAGCATTAGATTAAATAAAATCAAACAACACCGCCCTAATACTTCCGGTTATTATTTAAGAAAAGAAAATTAAAAAGACAAACAACCCAAAGTAAAGAAATTCGTGTTAATTTTATTTGTATTGTTACTTGTTTTTTATTTTTATTTTTTTAGTAAATACATAACAAACATAGTAAGCACTAATATGAAAAATTAAAAAATATTTATTCTGTGCAGTACATGTACAAAAAAACTAAAAAAATTTAACAATACGTAATCATGATACAATTGCCAAGAAATTAAAACAAATAGCAAACAAACAATAAATAAAAAGGAAAGAAAATCAAACTAAGTAAGGAGTGATTGGTGCAAAGTTGCTATTTGCGGGAAAAAAAAAAAAAAAAAGTGAACCGCTAAACCGGTTAGGAGCATCACATGTTTTGGAAAAAAAAGATTTGATTTCTCAATTTTTATTTCTCGCTATTTTTCTGGGTAAAAGAAAAATAAGGTTAGAGAATAAAAAATCTATTATTTCTCTAGATAATATTTCCATTATCTCCATCAATTTTTTCTGTACCAAACCCCCAGGAGTCTCACTCAATCAAAAGTTAACTACCCAAACACCCGCCCACCCCAAAAATCAATCATCATCAAAACTTACTGGTCAGTCATCTACACTACTGAATGCAACTTTAAAAACAGCACCTAAAACACTCCCTACTCCCTCATGTACACTCTCTCACTATTATGTCTTGATTTGAGACAAGTCCAGTGCAGTGCAATCCACGCATGAATATCAATCATCGGCATCACTTCCAGCCATCTGGTTGTCTTGACTCATCGAATAGTTGCTTCCATCGGGACCCAACACTTTAAACCTGTGTACAAACAAACAAACACTCACTTGCTACCAGGATGGGATCACAAAAGCCTTACTCGCATTACATTACATTTCATTCATACATACCTCTCCAGGATGAATTTTCCTACTTTATACTTTTGGTTCTTCTCATGAGCACCTTCCTGCTTGCCGGCAAATACATACAAACGATAAATATTTGAGTATGCAATGAATGCCCAAGTTTATGTAAAAGCAGCAGTCAACATCCTCACATATTTCCATCCCACAATCGAGCCACAACCCACACAAAATATGTCCACGACTGTGTGCATTCCAGTCATCATCATCCGCTCCTCTTTCTCTCCAACCGTCACATTCACACTATCAACAACAAACATCATCATACATCAGCCATATATCAACACCTACTTGCAACTATGAAATTCCAAATGTCGCTGCAGTGCAGACCCGAGTAACACCTTTTCCTCAATAAAACAACAACACAATAACCATTAGCCAATGGATGCTACTATCTCTAAACTGCAATACTCATTACCAGACAATGATCAAGTTGCAATAGATCGCAAGCTCGTCATAGAGCAAAGGAACATGAAACAATTATAATATATAATTATGTAAGCCACAATGCAAATATAATGGAACCGACACTTACACTTTCTCAAACAGATAAGCCTTCCCATGCCTGCAGTGGAAAGACTGTAAACAACAATGAGACATAGTAAGTGCAAACACATCCAAGGATGTCCTAGAAGATTGCAACTTATATTAGATGTAGACAAAATTGAGCATAGAGTTTTCAGTTGTTATAAGGGGCCAATGATTCAAAAAGTACTATAGATTGTACAAATAAGATTGTTACAGGAGAATATGGAACTGTAAATGAAACTCATAGGTAGGGTGATAGCATCCATACGGGTGAAATACTGAGAGATGTCAATCTATCAAGGAGAAAGATGCATTAATCACCACTCAGCACGACATAATATATCTTACGGCAGAAAGATATAATTTTCTTGACATTTGATTCTATTCTACTCACCTCCAAACACCTCTCCCCTTTTATACAAAATTAATATTCAAAATTTCAAATTTGATTGTTTTGTAACCATGACCTATAATTATATTCAACCTCAAGGTTACACATACTCTTTCCAATAAACAACCCCGAGAATCAATTCTGCGGGTGTGATGGAGAAGGTGTGGAAGATAATAGGATGCATACTTTGCTGAATACATGCGGGTGTAATGGGGAAGGTGTGGAAGATAATAGGATGCATACTTCGCTGAATATATTCAAAACATGGCTAAGAAGGTAACTACATCAGTAGATTTGACACGAGGAAAGGTCTCTTGTGAAAGGTCTGAACCAAAATTAGTGAAATTCAGAGCAATAAATGTTTTACATAGTTTCCAAATTTGAAATCTCCCACTTTTAATTGGTTGTGGTGAGCAATGAACCTCCGACCTTCCACATAATAGTCATTACTAACTAAACAAACAAGCACAAATTAGTAAAAGGGTGATATATAAAACCAAGTTTCTCTATATCTTACAATAGCATCTGAATGATTTCCAACAAAATTTTAGCAAAATATAGTTGCTCTACTCCTGAATATTGGTGCCAGAGAGGACGATAAGGAAAACAAGAAGAAAATGAACAAAATACAAAAAAGATATAAAATAAATTGCTACCGCAGTCTCATAGTAGGGCTTGACGAAAAAGAAGGGAGAGAAAACAAAGAGATTATGCTAGCAACAGACATATAAATAAGCATGTATTTGCCATATCTTTAATCTTCAAGAAGATCAAAGGGGGCTGATAGCCCGATGCACGGACTTTCCCTAGAAACAGCAAGTCCAGGAAGAGGCATGGGGGTTCCACTTCAGGGATACTTGGGCAAATAATCCAATTACTACAGATATAGTTAGAACATTTCCCTAAGCCTTAAGGACAGATCAATCTGGTCTCCTGAGACATACCAGACAATTGACAGTTGTAGTAGCTATCAGACTCAATTAATGAATGAAGCCACACTATGATCGATGACTTTCTAGGTAAAACTAAACATGCATTTGCTTAGATCAACATATTGGCACATTTGATTCATTATTGTGAAAAACAAACAAATAAATAAATAAAGTCACACCATGCAAGGCAGTAGCCAATGAGGAAATTATTCACATACGTTGTTTTGAACATGGAATCATTAAATATCACGTTTGATGGGTCAAGTTGTATTTTATTTTAATTTTTTTATTTCAAGTGGCTCGCTTATCTCCCCTCCTATCTGAACACCAAAGTTTGCAAGCTGAAAGCATCGTGCTGTTTTCTTATCAAATCAAAAACACGTGTTACAGACTACACCCAGTCAGGAAATGTTCAATTCTGGGGAAAACCCTTCATTAGGTCCCAAACATCCCGTCTGATAAATATTTTCCATATGATCCAAGAATTGAAGCAGCAATTGGATCCTTTCAACTAATTGAATCGAGACCAGCGCAGTTTATGGCAGAGTAAGACCGTTTCTTTCGTCACTCAAGACTGAAGAGGAAAATTAAGAGAGTTGAATTGAAAACCTTAGACATAATGTCGTCGGAGAGAGCAAGATGCGTTTGGCAGTGCTTGCAAGAATAGATGTTTCCTTCCAAATAAATCAGAAAAAGCCTCCCCATGATATTGATACCAATCCAACTCTTTCTTGGGTCTCTCTCGGTCACGGTCACTGTCACGGTCACAATCTATAAAAATTACACAAAAAGGCATCACAAGTAAATTCCCAAAGGCATACACATACATTCATACGTATATGACAGAAAATTACTAAAAGGGAATAAAAACACGTAACGCAGAAGGAGAATCGGAGATGCATTAAAACGGAAACAAATAGGGAAAAGCAAGAAGAAGCGGTATGAAGGAAGGAGGCGGATGAAGCGAGAGAGAGAGTGAGGGGAGGGCAGGATCTCACCTCTGGGTTGGGGAAAGAAAAGAAACAAATCAGAAAACGTAAGGAAGGCGAGGAGAGGAGAGGAGAGGAGGCAGGGGAACGACGTTGCAGAAGTTTCACGCCAATTAGAAGTGCGTCTCTTCTTGGCCCTATTTATAGTTGATTAATTATACAGCGGCTCAGTTACCCCACCCCGCCCCGCCCAGACAGTCAAGAGAGTTAAAGAGAGACTATATCAATGGACCTTTTCTGAATAAATTGAATTGGGTTTGTTTAGAGTAACTTCTCATTTAGAGTACATTTGAGATCGTTTAATAATAATAATAATAATAATAAATGGAATAAGACGAATGGATTATGCCGGTTGATGGGAAAAGCAACTCATATATCACAGTAAATAAAAAAATTATAATATTAATTTTATACCAAATAAATGTGTCCAATTTTAAAAGAGTTAAAGATGAATCAAGAACAGCGGATATGTGAGATTATTGAGAGATTAGCAGAATTAAGAAGAGAAGAATGGCCCCAAATTATATATACAAAAGAGAGATAATAGAAGCAGACCCAAGACGGAGTAACGATCAACAATGGGAATGGATGTTGGTCCAATGAAAAAGTTGTACATGTTGAAACCCATTTGCATAAGAAAAGACGTGGAAGAAAGGGAAGAGATCAACAAATTTTTGTATAAATAACGAGTTATGGATAATACAAGTAAGAAATAATAAAACTAAGTCTTTTTTACCTGTAGTCTAAAAACGGCGTAGTACTCCCTTGTGTTTTAAAAAACGTTGCATGAAATTCCACCACCATGAAACTTTCCTCACGTGATAAAGAAGATGATTTTCTATCTATATGTTTTGCATAGCAGGGGGTTTTATGCAATATTTTTTAAAGTATAAGTGAGCGTCATGCAATTTTTTTTTAAGTAAAATGGGGATTTATGCTGAGTTTCGAAATCACAAAGTGGTTTCATGCAACATTTTTTAGTATAAGGGAGCGTCATGCAATTTTTAAAGTAGAGAGAGAATTTACGCTGAGTTTCGAAACCATAAGGGAATTATGGGCAATTTTGCCTTCTTAATGGTAAGGGATTGACGAAGACTGTGGTTATGAGACTTACTTCAACTAAAGAAGTAGATTAAGAATTTCGGTTGTTATTGAAAAGTGAGGATAGCTTTAATGATGAACCATTAAACCATAGTGGGAGGTTATAGAGGTTACTTAATATTGGTGGAGTTTGAATGCTAGATCATTGAAAGCACATAGAGGTTGAGGGTGTTATAATTTTTTTATGAACTTCAGCGATGGTGAAAGTTATGAGCAATCAATGAAGTGAAGATTGTGAAGCCCATTATTTAGAGGAAAAAATATAGGGTCTCGCGGAATTTATGAAAATAAGAGTTACCAGGTAATGGGAGGCATCGTAAAACCAGCTTTGAGAATTGAAGGCTCAAGTAATGATCATTCAATGATCTTGAGAGTTTTTTTACTGTTATTTGGTGATGAATAAGACTTAAAGAACCAGGTAAATTGTATAAAATCCACCTGTAGTTTCACAAAATTGCGCAAATCTCTCATACTTCTAAAACAACGTCAAACTCCCTCGTGGTTTCATAAACTTTGCGTCTAACCCCCTCGGCGGTCCTTATTTAACGGTATTTGACCTAAATGCGCTCAAACTGCGAATGTCCTTATTTAACGGTATTACGACCTTAATTATCGATGTAATATATTATAAATTCAAACATTTCGTTTGAAGCAGTCGTAATTGATTTTAATTACAAACTTTTCGTTTGTAACAATCGTAATTTATTCTAATTTCAAACCTTCCATTTGAAACGATTGTAATTTATTCTAATTTCAAACATTCCATTTGAGATTATAATAAATCTATCCAACGGATAATATTTTATCCAAATAATACTGCGACTTCCGCCGTATACCTGGGTTTAATTTGGGGTTGCACAATTTGGTTTGTCTCGAGATAGACAAAATAGTCAAAATATTAACCAAACCCCATGTACAATAAATAAATATTATTTATTTATTTCTTCCAAATTAATCTGATTAATTTGGTACACCAGCCCGTCGCATTTTCACTCACAAAATAATCGATTGCAAAATAACATATTATCCAACAATCCCCCATATGAGTAGAAATGCCCATAAAGGACAGAAGCTCAACTCAATCCCCGTGAGACATTGACACATCAGGACATGTAGTTTTTGGCTTTGAACCTTCCATAGTCAACATTACAGAGTGCACTGGTGGTCCAGTTGACGTGATGCATTGAACTGTTCCACCTCTGCGTGCACTTAGTCAATAATATTGATGTGTCGCTATCTCACTCACAACTTTATTCTCACGTTTTGATCCATTTCGGCCATGGATCTTGTCTTTGGATTCATAAGTGTTTCATTTGAAGCGGCCCACACTTCACACTTATATAGATAATCCTATATCAAGGTATCGAACCCACACTTTTAGGATCATTAAGAGTCATTGACTCAACCTCACCACTTTTGCACATTATAACACTCATGCTTTTAAGGAAACTGTAATTGAGTGTTCGTGCCGGACTCTCACAGCTTAGTTTTTCTATTGAACCAAGGTTTGAGATTTCCAAGTGATTTGGTTAGGTTACCACTGTAATTGTCTCTATCTTGTGGATTTCAAACTCATTCCCTTTAGCAGTTTGTACATTTGATCTCTCTGTAACCCTTTGGTTAGTGGATCCGCTAGGTTTTCTATTGATTTTACATATTCAATAGTCAAAACCCCACTGGTGATCAAATGCCTTACAGTGTTATGTCTACGTCGGATATGTCGGAATTTACCGTTGTAAATTCCATTCTTAGCCCTTGCTATTGCAGTTTGGCTATCGCAGTGAATCATTACGGGAGGTACTGGTTTAGTCCAGTATGGAATATTATCTATGAAGTTCCTCAGCCATTCAGCCTCTTCGCCAGCTTTGTCCAAGGTGATGAACTTCGATTCCATTGTGGACCGTGCAATGAACGTCTGTTTTGTGGATTTCCATGAAACAACTCCTCCTCCAATCGTAAATACATATCCACTTGTAGACAATGAGTCTTTTGCATCGGATATCCAATTGACATTGCAGTACCCTTCGAGTTTGTCTGTAGCCTTTTACTACGAGACGAACTTTGTATTTGTCAATAGACCCATTAGCCTTGAGTTTCTTTTCCAAAACCCATTTACACCCTAGTGGTTTGCAACCTTCGGGTAGGTCAGATAACACCTAAGTGTTATTATGCATTATTGAGTCTATTTCACTATCTATTGCTTCATTCCAGAAAGGAGCATCATGACTAAATAGTGGTTCCTTGATCGTTGCTGGATCATTGTCTAACATATACGTAACAAAATCCGGACCAAAGGTTTTTTCGACCCTTGTCCTTTTGCTACGCCTAGGCTCTGAAGCCTCTTGATTAGGGCTATTGGCCATTTGTCTTTTTACGCCCGTATTTGTTCATCTACGGATTTTGGATTTTACTGCATCCTTTCTTTACAAGGGTAGATATTTTCAAAGAATGTGACATTCCTTGATTCTATCGTAGTTCCCTCGGTCATCCCAGGGATTTTCGATTTGTGAACTATGAAACGATAAGCACTACTGTTTAATGTGTATCCGATAAATATGTAATCTACCATTTTTGGGCCAATAGCGAGCGACTTGCTTTGGAGGCGGAACTTCCACTTTTGCTAGGCACCCTCACACTTTGAAGTATTTGTATGTGGGTTTCTTGCCTTTCCATAGTTCGTAAGGGGTGACATCCTTACCCTTAAGTGGAATCTTGTTCAGGATATAATTTGCAGTTAGTACCGCCTCCCCCCACAGGTTTTAGGGAAGCCCTGAACTTATCAACAAGGCATTCATCAATTCCTTAAGTGTTCGATTTTTGCGTTCTGCAACGCCGTTCGATTGAGGTGAATATGGAGTCGTTGTCTGATGCATTATGCCATTTTCGTTACATAATTATTTGAACGGGACCACATATTCGCCACCTCTATCACTTCAAACTGTCTTGATTTTACAGTCAAGTTGATTTTCTGCCTTGGTTTTCAAGTTCTTGAAGGCCTCGATTGCTTTGCTCTATTCCCTTAATAGGTAAAGATAGCAATACTTTGTGCAGTCATCGATAAGTGTAATGAAATATTTCTTTCTACCTCTAGTTTGCACAAATTTTAAATCACATACATCGGTGTGAATTAACTCTAATGACTTAGTCTTCATTTTGATAGACGGGAAGGATAATTTTGCCATTTTGGCTCCACGCAAACTTCACATTTGTTTTGAGTGTTCACCTCTTTTATATTTAGTAAATTCATATTTACTAATCTTTTTATAACATTTAGGTTTACATGACCTAGTCTACAATGCCATAAATCAGAACACTCATTCAAGTACGAAGAAAAAGCAACATTTTTATTATCAGTAGGTGGTGCTCGGCGCACGGCCATTACATTCAATTTGAACAACCCATTTGTAAGATAACCCTTAGCTAGGAACATCTTGTTTTTCGATAATATAAATTTATCTGCTACAAAGACAAGTTTAAAACCATGCCTAACTAGTAGCGATCCTAAGACGAGATTTTTCCGAATGTCTGGCACATGCAGGACATCTTTCAGGGTTAGTTCTTTGCCAGAGGTCATCTTCAGCACCACGTTCTCTACGCCTTGGACCTCAGAAGTTGCATGATTTCCCATGTGCAGCTTCCTCCCTTCGGTCTCCTTGTAGGTCGAGAAGTTTGTTTTGTCGGAGCAAATATGGCAGGTTGCTCCGGTGTCAATATACCAAGCTCTCGGACTTTCCACATTATTTGTTTCGTACATAACAGCGACAAGGTCGTTACTATTGAGATCACGATCAGTCCGGTGACTCGTCTCGACCAGTTGGGAACTCGGCTTCTTCTTTTTCGGTGCCTTGCAGTCCTTAACCTGATGTCCTGTTTTACCACAGTTAAAACAGTTACCTGTACACTTGGACTGTTTGGCTTTGCCCTTGTCCGTTTGAGTTGGGCGTGCACGTTTTTTGGCGGGATCTCCGACCAAGTTGGCTTTAGCAATATCTTCACTTTTAGCCTTGT